TTCAGAAGACCACTATTTAAAATGAATGCATGCTTTCAAGGGAGAGAGTATTACAAGTGGGGCCAGTCTGACATTCAAATCATTCAGTTATCATTCAGATTGGACTTCGTAAGAAGTAGTTTCAAAACATCCCTTGGCTTCCCTTGCTGTTTGAGATTAAGGTCGTGATTCAAGTCACGCTGTGTGCAACACCCAGGGAAGGCCCAGGAAGGGGGTTCCCGGAGGCTCTGCCGTAACGGGCCAGGCCTCTTCTCAAAGCGCTTTGCACCCCGCAGCCAGCAAAAGCCAGGCTGATTTATGAGTGAGTCGGTGTGTCAGATTTATGTAATGAGATTATATATTCAATCTAATGAAGGAAGAATATGCTTACCAGAACAGTATGACAGTGCTGTGATTAAACGGTTCTGTAGCAGTATTCCCTCAGTGGATTAATTTTAAAAATGCAGCAGGTCCCGCTGACCTGCTCCCTGTATGCTGCTCGTGAGCGGCTCCTTGCAAGGAAGATTAATGTTTTTGATCGTGTTGATAAAATAACTATGTGATAATAAAGGTAGATATGAATTGCTTGTATCTGGCAAACTGCCTGTTGTTTTTGGTTAATCTCCCATGATGATTTATGCTCCTAGGAAGCTTCTCCTGCCTATTTGTTCAAGTTTTAGGAGAGTGGGAAAACAAGGACTGCAACAAAGATGCGTGGCCATCTTAGTGCGAGGGCGATGGGAGCTGCTGCCCCGCGCCCGCGCGCGGCCTCCTCGCGCAGCTCTGGGCTCCTGGAGAGAGGAGCTCGTGGTGGAGCGGGGTGCTGAAGGGAGTGGAGCTTGCTCCCTCCTCTCAACATTACAGGACACGGCAAAAGCTGTTTTTCATAAAGGCTTTTTTTAAAGGCTTGGGAAGATGAGACCTAAATCAGTGTTCAGGTAGAAAAGCCTCATTCTAGGCAAAGGCCTGAGCTGGTTTGTATGGGGAAGAATATTCACAAAGGTAACGTGAGCCGACGGATTTACTCTTTCTGGATGTGCTCGGTGGGGAAAGCGGTTTCTGCGCAGCCTGATTAGGAGCAGGTGCCCAATATACCTGTTGTTAGGAAGCTCAGAGCCTTCAGTACTATTTGGATTGCATTAATTAAGTACATCGATATGCAATAGGGAAAATAGCATCAGAATCAACTTGAAGATGTTCTCTGTTCTGTGAAGAGCCAAAAAAGAGCTGCCTCCAGAAGCCTTTTGTTAAGGACGCTTTGTCAGTCTGGGCAGCTTGGCTTTGTTAGTCCAGAGTTTCATGCGCAGACGTCGCTCCTGTGGGCTGCAGGTCTGGTGAGCAGCAGGACCCTCTGGGCTCGACTTCTGAGCTCTGCTCTGCTCTGCTGGCGTCTGGAACGTGAGGTGGATCCAGGGCCCTGCGAGCAGTGCTGCCCAAGGACACAAAGCCGCCTTGTTCTCTCGGAATTAGTGAACAGGGGGGGCGACTTAAAAGCAGGTTAAGGGTGTGTTTACTGCATTGTGCATTGAAGAGGGAGAATGTTGAAAATCTGTGAATTGACGCTGCTGTAAGAGTTATTTGTGCTACCGTAAGTCAGGAGTTGACCTTTCCCGTCTTAAAACCACAAAGCGTTTATCTCGCGTCCAGAAAGCAATTGATTCTCTCTTCAAGAAGAGCTGACATTCTCAGTATATTATCTCTGATATATGTGTACTCTGCTCATTGACCACATAAGAAAGTCGGATGTTGTATTTAAAGGGCAGAATAGTATAATCTAAAAGCAAGGGTCCCGAGGTCTTTTGTCTTGTGACCTATAAAATTATTGTGTGTGCCCAAAGGACTTCTGGGTTGTGTTGTGTCTGCTGGGCATTATCTCTTTATACTGTCAAGCAAAGTACTAGAAAGAACAGAAGATGTCTTGGTAACAGCTCAGTGTTTGTCCCCAACAAAATGCTCACAGAATCTGCATGCCTCCAAAGTGTGTGAATTTCTTACATGACAATTGGAAGATGTGTGGTCACTGTATCTGTATAGATCCATATATAACTAAAGTTAAAATCAGGTCATACACATAAATAACTTCATCACCCACAATAGCTGCAGTGATCGTGGTGCTCCTGTGGCTGAAGCCAAAAAATTTTCTTATATTGTCTGCAGTAGAGAGAAATAGGGCTGAGCTTAGATAAGCCTTGTTTTAAAGAAGAGCAGCTCCCTAACCCCTGTCATAATCTACTGGGGATATGGTGTACTTAACTGATTTCATCTGATAATGCTGTAAGCTGGTCTTTGATAATTGCTTTCTGTAATTGGAACAAATTTATGATTATGCTAATTCACCCCCTACCACCAGTGCATCGCAGCTGAGTTAATCCGTACCTGTCCCTGCATCACTTCTCTAGATCATTATGTGATTAGCCTGGGTGAGAAGTCGATGTGAGTATTTTAATTCTGAGCGGGTTTAATTTCTTGGGAGGAACTCTTAGATTTCCATGCATAAACTTAGAGAATATTACAGTCATTTTTAAGTTTATTTAAAGATAGATACATTTAAAATCTTCAGTGTGTTACAACCTCCAACCTCCGTGGATGGTAAAGCAAGGGCAGTTTAATGCCCGAGACTGCAGGTTGGAAATGCGGAATGCAGATGTCGTTTCGGTATGAAGACGTGGTTGGGTTCTTCGTTGCCATTATTTCATTTGGTTAATATGGATGCACATGTTTCTCAAGGGAAAGTTTCTATCATTTCAGGTAACTATAATGTTTTGTCATCAAGACTCCCTTAAATTTATCCCTTTATCAATCCTTAGTCCCCTGGAAGTGTTAGCCTGGTGCGGTAAAGGCAGTGAGAGAGTTGGAAGCAGCCTCCAAGGAAGGGGGAGGCTGGAGTGAGGGAGGAGTATTCCCAGTGTCATCAAGCCTCCAGATGAGAAGCAAATTTACATTTTCGTTTACAAATCATCTTTTGATTGCGCATGCCAACACTGTCACGTTCGTGTGCAGTCTGCGTAATGTTCTCCCTTCGCACTGATCATCATTCTTTTAAACGCTTTGCATTAATGCAGCCGTTTTTCATCCACCCTGCCTTGCGGTCCTGTGCTCAGGGCGCAGTGGATCCGGGTGCTCGTTCCTGGAAAGTACCGAGCTGTCGGGAGGAAAAATAGCCTGAGGTCTCAAAGTGCTGGGGTAGCAGAAACCAGAACCTTCCAAAGGGAGCCCAACAATAAAAAATGACAACAACCACCTCCCCCCCAAGTAGAGGGGGGCCAAATAGAGCCAAAATGCAAAATCTCTATATAAACACATGTGAAATTATGAACTCGTCTCCAGCAACACTGCTCAGATTTGTCATTTCGTCGAATATTCCTGTCTGGGTTTGTCATTACGCTGCACGTAAAGTGAGTTTAATTCTGGCTGTGACCATTGAATTTCTGTCGCTTGATTTACCCTCGTGCTGTTGCTCCATGATTTAAATGCAATCCTGGTTTCTATATTGAAGCCTTCTCTGATAACTAGTATTAAAGTTAACTGCACAAGGGAATGAAACCCAGTGATGAATTACTTGATTGTTCCTTGCTTTACCCAGACCAAAGAGCAGTGGAATATTTAATACACACAGTGAATGCCTTCAAATAGGGTATTAAGAAGGAGCTCAGGTTTATGGTATTTGATAAGATTTGCTTTATCATCATCATTGTTGGTTGGCAGTATCAGTGAGGGAGACAAGTATATTGGACTAATTTTTTCTTGGACTATTTATGTATTAAATGCATAATGTTTCATACTCGGCTAATGCCTCTTTTATCAGGCCTGTAGAACAATCTGTTTATTTACTCCCAGAGTCGCCATGTAGGGAAGCAGGGCCATAAACCCAGATCGGAAGGCAGTTTCCCGCTGCCCATGCGGTGGCACAGGGCTGTGAGGAGCTGCATGTGACAGTCACCCACCTTCTGTCCCCGCCAAGAGAAGTGACTGATGCCACTGGGAGGGAAACCTGCTGTCTGGCACCAAATCTAATTGGCTTTGATGGTCAGCGCTTGCAGATTTGTTTATAAACTGGAAAATGTACAAATTGCAGCCCATCTGCGCAGAGCAGCGTGCTAATGAATGCCCATAGCTAGCAAATCCATAAGCTCATTACCTCCAAGTTACAAGTCCTTCCCCAAGTTCCCAAATGAGGTTATTCATCTGTACTGAGATGAGAGGTATTTGTCTTCAGGGTACAACCACGCTTCCTTCAGGTCTGGAAAAGCTATTAAAATGAGTCACATTTGTTCAGTCTTTTAATAGGATCTGTTTTTTTCTGCTTCTATTTTTAATTTTTCAGTTCTACAACAGCAGCTTGCCATGCCTTAAGTATTTTGTTTAAATGTTTCAAGTTAGAGAAATGCCCTGCAGACAGTTCCTGGGTCTGCTCAGAGAAAGGCTGCTGGTGAGCTGGAGGAGGTGTGCAGGGATATATCATATCCAGCATTAATGTTCCTTGGCAACAAGCACTAATGGCTTCCTGGTTTAAGAATGTTTATTCAAACTGGGAGTCTGTTATGAAGATTTAGCTCTTCTGCTGTGTGTGACGTGGAGCAAGTGATGCAGAGATTTAAGAAAAGGACTTCATGTTCAAGCTTTGCTGCTGCTTTAGTACTTACAGTGGAAAGAGCCAGGGGTAAATGACATTTTTATCTTAGCTTGCTGATTCCTAGGATTAAATGTTAATCCTGTCTCCTTCATCCTTACCTTCTCTACCCCCCAGCAGAACAAATATAACCCCTCTGTTATGATCTCCATTGTTTGCAACTCTGGATGGGAAGTAATAAGCTCCGGGGCATTTGGGATAGGAATGCTTTCTTTTCTGAGCCTGAGAATATCTGCCTTGTTGGAAACTGTATTCTAGCTTTGTTTTTATCTTAATGATAGTAATAAAAATCAAAATGAAGTCTATTAATGAATTGCTTGGAATGATTGTGCAGACTTCCTACTTCTGTCTTTTCATATCTCATGATTTTTATTCCTGCATCTCCCTGCAGGTGGAATGGCTCAAGAATGAGGAGCCCATTGACTCCAACCTGGACGAGAACATAGACACCAGAGCAGACCACAACCTCATCATCCGCCAGGCGCGGCTCTCCGACTCCGGCAACTACACCTGCATGGCCGCCAACATCGTCGCCCGCAGACGGAGCCTCTCGGCCACGGTCGTGGTGTATGGTCAGTGAAAAGTACTGCATGGTTGTGGGGAAACCTCGTGTGTGTGCTCGCCGCCTGAGTGCCTCATACTGTTGACATCCAACCATTTATAAAGGAGGGCAAGAAGTTCGTTTCCACCAAGAAGAGCTTCAGTTCTGTTACTGAAGGCTGAGGCGATGCCTTTTTTACAGCGATTAGCATTATGTGGTTGTCGTTATGTCAGTAACGACCACCCTTGCTCCAGTTATCAGTTAACGCACACGAATAAGCCTTGCGTGCCCCCCGGAGAGCCTGCAGCATGTGCCTGGGGGGGCCTGGGGGGCTGGATTTGGAGCTGGGGCGCTGCAGGGCTCGAGCACCAACGAGGACTGGGATGTTGCACTGCAGCACACAGAGCAGAACCGTCCTTCATCACCACTCCATGCTCGTTAGAGAGTAACGTTTCATTGGTGGAGGCAGAGCATTCTAAACCACCCTAGTTAAAAAACAGATCTTTTGCATTTAAGCAAAGCTTGTTTTAAAGAACTAACGTGCCTACTTTTACCTCCTCCTCAGTCTTCCCATCAGTGATTGCACCTTTTATCACATTCCTCTTTCAAAACAAGCACTTGTTTTTTTTGACACCGTGCCCTTATGCGCTGCCTTGGAGTGATGTTTTGTGTAACGTCTCTTCACGCATCTGCAGCAGTGACAGGGCCGGGTGTGTTTTGCAGTCAACGGAGGCTGGTCCTCGTGGACCGAGTGGTCGAGCTGCAACGCGCGCTGCGGGCGAGGCTGGCAGAAGCGCTCACGGACCTGCACCAACCCCGCGCCGCTCAACGGGGGAGCCTTCTGCGAGGGGATGTCCGTGCAGAAGATCACCTGCACCTCGCTGTGCCCTGGTGAGACGTTCGTGGCTTCCCTGGATTAACTTTGCACGTCACCCCGAGGGCTCGCCCTGCCGGGAATGCCTGGTAGACAACGATGCTCTGCGAAGCCATTGAGGTTGAAACAGAAACCGGAGGTAGCTGCGTGCCTGCTTCGACTGCAGTGCAGAGCCTTGTGCCTTTTTCATTCTTCTTCTCTTTTTATTCCTTTATTCTTCTTCTCATTTTTAAATTGAGTTTGTTATACGTGGAGCACCGTTGCGTGCCTGGACACTGTACATTTCCTCATTTGTTCACCTGAAACCTTGTTTATTTGATTTTGATATTTCACGTGTACAGCTAGATAATGTTGGGGGATTGAATGTGTGAAGCTCAAAGACTCTGTCAGAGCTTAACCTACCTGGATTCTCCTTTTACATTTTACATGTCATGAGGCTTTATCTGTGTCCCTATGACTTGCACTGTATATTTTACTGGAATCTCTAGACTGAGCATTTTGACTTGCACTGATGATTTCTTTTCCCCCTTGCTGCGCAGTGGATGGAAACTGGGAGGTGTGGAGTGAATGGTCCGTCTGCAGCCCCGAGTGTGAGCACCTGAGAGTCCGGGAATGCGTCGCTCCCCCTCCAAGAAACGGAGGAAAGTACTGCGAGGGCTCGAGCCAGGAGTCGGAGAACTGCACCGAGGGCCTTTGCATTCAAGGTGGGTAGCGCTTCACACCGAGGGGACGTGGCCGGTGTCGCCTGGAACTGGAGATGCAGTGTTGGTAGTGCCTCCCAGCCAGTCAGGAGAGCTCCTGTGGGGGAAACAGTACTACGAAAACCAAGGTTATGGGTTTAGGGAGTTGCATTTGTGCAGTCTGAAATCCACAGTGGTTTCTGTGTCACCGAAATCGTGTAGCGCCTGCTTTACCTCTTCATCACCAGGTGATTGCGTGAAATATGTACAGCGAAAAGAGGAAAGTAATTGTCTAAACAAAATGAACTCTCTTTTTTTGTCCAGAAATGATTATAATTTTTGTAATGGCAGCTAGCATCCTGTATAATTATATAAGCTTCATAAATATGCATATCACAGCTGAGACTTTAAAAATAAGATCTTATTTGTTTTTTTGAGGGAGGGATCATCTTCAGTTTTCCTGCATCTCTCTCACTCCTTAAAGTTTTTTTCCTTTTGTCTTTTTAAAAAAAATAACTAGTGAAAATTTGTGAAGACTGCAGTTCATTCAGCCTTTGAGGACCACCACAGTGATAGTGAGATGCTTTCTGAGGTCTTTCTCCTTCCTACACATTAAATGAATACCCGTGTCTGCAGATGGCTTGTAGAATGGCTTAGTCCTTTCATGGGTGCGGATTAGCATATCCATGGGAAAGCTCCCAGAAAGATGCATTGAAAGGGGCATCAAAAGATGCAGCTGAGATCCCTGTGCTCATCACGGTTTGTGGCAGGCATGAGTTTCATCAGAGTTGATAAAAGGTGGCCCGGTTCAGGTCACTGCTTCCAAGAAGAGACCTAATGACACTGCACGGTGATAGAGACTCCCTGTCCTCCTCTGGGGACATCTTTGCCTGGGTAGTTAATGTCAGCCCTGCGTGTCACCTTCCAGCTGTGCTCATGGCTCAGAGTAGTAGAACAAAGATTCCCAGGTTTACCTTGGTAATCTGAAAGCAGCTTGTGGCCTGGGGAAAAGCTATTTTTATTAAGTACCGAGACTGATGATAGACATTTTGGAAAACCTAATTTCACTTGCTGGCAGCAGCTCCGTGGCATGGGGGCAATCTCGGAATCGGCGGGTGCTCAGCACTGCTCAGCTTCTCCCTGCGCACCCTGGTTCCAGGGGGTTCCCCCGGGCGCTTTCATAGGCAGGTTGGAAAGTGCCCTGTCATTCCCTGTCCCGTGGTGTGTTGTCACCGGGAGGCTGCTGTCACTCTGGCTCGCGTGTCCCGCAGAGCACAAGGCCGCGCGGTGCTGGGCAGCTGGGTCACGAGCTCTGGGTTTGATGCTTAATTGTGATTCCAGGAGTGACTTCTCAAGAGCTGTTCTCGGGTAGAGCCCTCTGAACCTTCTCCTATGAACAAAGATTGCAGATACGGTGCTGCTAAAATCTCTTTATCCATATTGCTACAAAGAGAGGGAAAGGAACTGGGTGTTTGGAGTTCTGTGTGCAAACATGCTGCTAGGATAATGTTTTATTTTTAGATATGTCCTTGTTCCCTCATCTCAAGCTTAGGAACACTGATTGAAGATGCGCTTACAATAAGGCTGTTTTTCCTAATGAGAAATATAAAAACTGCTTTGTAAAATTGTCGAGCCTGAGCTGTGCACACTTAGGAATGTTCATTCAGTGCTTTGTGCCTTAACTGGAAACGTGCTTTGTAGGTGACTCTGCTTTCCCTAATGAGAACTTTTAATCCCAGCGCCCCCCCAGTGCTGCACTCGAGTTCAGGATCTACATCTGTGTGGCCTGTGGCTTTAGTGGGAGGTTTGTGGGATTTCAGCCGGAACCAGCAGGTCGCTCAATCTCAGATGCTGGTAGGAGAGAAAGAAATGGTTGTCTTTAATATGCTTGTCATAAACTAAAGTTTAAAAAACCAGCCAAACCAGAACATGTGCCCCAAGACATGATTTTGCAACTGTAATCGGTACAGGTTGGTTGTATGTTGGGGGGTTTTGTTTGCTTTTTCTTCAGGCAGCCTCTCAACAAAAGTTATTTGAGCAGTTGCTTGAGCTGGACAGTCTGCCCAAGGAACGCGGGGCTGGCAGAGCTGCTGCTGCCCGGGGGTGTGCGGAGCCTTGCGGCAGTGCTGGCCGTTGCCCCGTGCACGTTGTAAATCCCTGAGCAGCAGCCTCGCAAACGCGTTGATCCTGGCAGCCCGTTGCTGCCGCGGGCCCTCTGCCCGCGCGGGCGCTGCACGAGTCTGCAGGTCCCTGCACGTTTCCTGGCCTGCTGGAACTTGCAAAAGGTAACGCAAAGGCTCCTCGGGAAGGAGAGAGAAAAACTCATCTTTAAGTCATGCAGTCATGGATAAAACCTGTATTTAATGTTTTAATGTATTTGCATATGTATGAGTGTTTGTTATCTATACATAGATGTCATTTGTGCCTATTTAAATAAGTAAATGTGTCCATATTACACCTATGGGTAGTTTATAAATGTCTGTCACTGAACTTCCTTGTTTCAAACATACAGGGAATTAATTCAACCTTAACTTGGTTTGCAAAGAGATGCTCTTCAAAGTGTTGGACTTTCTTACTGCCGAGATATGTATTATAAATAAAAGCAGCAAAGAAAGTTAAGAGATACTTGAACACAAGAGAGAAATGACAGTAAAGAAACATCCGGAAAGAGATTAACAAAAAGAAAGGAAGGAAAAAATCTGGACAGCATAAAATATTTATATTGTCAGCAAACAAGGAGAAAATGTTTCATTTATAGCACTAGACAGGAGCAATATAGGAAATAGATATGCTCCATGTAAATTTATTAAGTGCAATTTTGTCTCTCCCTCTCCCCACTTCTTTTTTTAGATAAAAAACCTCTCCATGAAATAAAATCCCAGAGTAAGTTATTTTTTCTCTTGTAAATATGATCTTTCTCATCTTCTCTGTAATTCTGTTTTATTTGTTTATAAGCTAAATGAAACTGAAGGTTATATGAAAGATTTTTGAATATACTGACAGTATCTACTTAGTGACTTTGGGATCTTAGGTTTTAGTCTAAAAATAAAAAAGTGATCATTCTTCATGAACTGCATCTGCCCGGGAGCTCATTCTGCTGGAATGCTCATCTGGAGTATTGCTAAGGTCTTGGGATTAAAAAAATGGAAAAAAAACAACGTAGGAATTTGGCTGCCTGGGTTTAAATGTGGCTCTGCCCCTGCTCTGTCTGGTCTTGGTCGGTTTGCTGCAGACTTCTCTTATTGCCTGGCAAAGAGGGCTCATGGGCTTTACCCTTCATCACATTTATACACCGTGTTAGGGGGCTTCTGCCATGCAATCTTTTCATTTCTCTGTCTTCCATTGATTTGGGGGGAATTTTAGTTTTATATAAAACATCTGGAGTAAATCGACTAGGCACATTTCACCTTTCCTCAAACCACAGGTTCCGTGAGACCTGCCTGTGTTAATGCCGAGACATTGCTTTTTCCTTCATTAAACCCTGCACAAAGTTCTGAGCACTTCTGACTGCTTAATTTTCAGTATTTTTTTTCTTTGCATTTTGACTAATAAACATATTTTTAGCGAAACTCCTTTGAAGGCGTTAGGGAAGAATCTGCCTCTTTGTGAGACATAATGGATGCAGTTGCTTTCATCTTCTTTGAAGACAGATTCTCTATTATTTATTAGAAGCCATTTCCCTTAAAGTCTGAGTGTTCCTCCAGGGTAGAAGGGCTCAGGGTGCTCAGGTTATTGGAAATTTTATGAAACTTGGGTGCTAAATTCTTAGCAGACCTTTAGGAAGCCTCAGGCTGGATTTGCTTAGGGCACACGAGCCTGGGAGGCTGAAGGGGGGATTCTCCTGCTTGGCAAAGCAGGAGTTGTAAAGGGCTCCTCCGAGTTCGGGTCCTTGTTATCTGCGGAAGAGTTCACTGATCAGAAACGCAACTAATAATTCCAGGATCTTGAAAGAACATCAGGCAACTTCCTTTAATTTCTGATTCCTTAAAAAAACAAATTTCGCTGGAATTGATCTTAACATGCAAGGTTCGTAGGAAAATTAAAGGGTTTCTTTAAACTGTGAAATTAGAAATACATAATACAGCTTGTTGCTGTTCAGCGAAACAGGAGCTTAGTTAAAGACTACAGGAATCATCCCAATGACTGAGAAACAACCTGTGCTACTGAATAGCCTTATCGTGATCTCTGGCTTTGGGGAAGAGGACAAGCAGGAAAATTCTTCCCTCTTTTGCAGCAAACTGATGGGAAACTGGGGGAAACGTATGCCCTGCGTAGCTCCTGGAAAGCACTTATTGCAAATGAGATAATTTAATCAATTATGTTTCCTAATGTACTAAACCAAATGTTTCATTTTCTGCTCCTGCACATCTTAAATTATCTTCAGGTGCTTTATGAAACTTAATCATAGTTAATAGAAACTTCATTACCATCAAATATGCTTTCAATAAATGTTGTGTAACAGTGTCAGGAGGTGGAGTGAAATATAGGCTACAGTTATGACAAACATGGATCCTGGAACTGAAATGTGGAGAAAAGAAAAACTTCAGGGCTGAGAGTCACTCCCCCCTCTGGGCTGGGAGGATGCGGCTCATTAAATAGTAATTGCTGGACTGTAAATGCTTTCCTTTTATGTTTGTTTTTCACTTTGTTCCCTTCTGAGAAAAAGTAAAAACATAAAAATTACCCTGCCCCTAAGTTGCCAACTTCTGGTCCCCAAAGGAGAGGAACTCTGCACAAAGATGGAGAGGAGAAGAGATTAAAGTTACTTTAAAAATACGGTGTGTTTCCAAAGAAGTAATAAAGTGTCCTAAATAGAGGTCACCTTTGTTTAGCAGGTCTGTTCCTTGGGATCAGTAGGGACTACCATGTCATTTTAAAATGCTGCTCAATTCTGATGGATTTCAAAATCTGTATTTTCCCTGAATTCTGAGTATTAGCCACCTTGGGGCTGTGGGTTCCCCTGCCTAAGGAACAGGCCTGTTCGCACAGGAGTAACTCAGGATTCCTATGAAGCAGAGCAGTAAACATCTTCCTGAAGTTAAGGCAATGCAGTGCAGAGCGTGTGATACGTTTTTAATCACACGTTTGTAGAGGCAGTTAGCAGCAGTTACTCGGTGCTTCCCACTTGGTAGCACAAGTGCTCCGCAGTGGGAGAGCCGCCGATGCTGCCAATGGCTGATTCCCCCTTCCTCCAAACTGGAGTCTGGCACTACGGGAACTGCCCAAGGACCCGCTGCGGATACTGGCTGAGTGATTTAATTTCACAGTACGTGGTCCCAAATCCCAAAGGATCTAGAAAAGTGCAATTGGATAATTAAATTACAGAATATAGTGGATTCACTTGGATTCATTCTTTTAAAGAAACGCATTCCTCTGCTTTGCTTGACAAAACCGCAATCTTAGAAGAGTTGGTTGTAAGTTTAGTACACGGGTGTGATCACACAGAAAGGCTCAGTTTGCAATCCGAAGACTGAGGACCCTTGCAGGAATCCAAGGGGATGTGTGGGATTTCTTCAGCCCCCTCTGGCTTCGCAAGGATGGGCTGCTGCTCCTCGTCAAAAGGCTCGTGCAGAGAATAGAGTGGGGGGAGTGGGAGAAGCCTTCCCTAGGAGTGGTGCAGAACTCCTTTTTTCAGGGGAGTCATGACCTCCTGCGTTAGCTCCAGAGCTCAAACCTAAAACTTCCCCTGGAAGCCTGCGGTGGATGAAACTCATGTTGATTTTTGTAACAGCCCCTGTAGCTGCCCTGCCACATCCCCTCATCTAAGGGCTGCATTACCATGTCTTAATGATCTCCACCGGGCTGGATGCGCGGCGAGGAGCTGGCCCGGCTTGCGTGCTCCTGCCAGGGGAGGCCCTGGAGTTGTCAGCTCTGTTTCTGGCTCTGCTTTGACGGCTGCAGCTCAAACCATCCGGCTTTTAACAGACAGCAAATAGCACGATGCAGTCCCAAACTCGGCGCAGCCTCCCCTGTTCGGAGGGGCGCTTCCAAGCGCTCGCTTCCCGGGGTTTGCTGGTGCGCCGCGCTCCTGCCCGCAGGCCTCGTGATCCCTGTGCTCCAGCCCTCAGCTCCTGCTCTCTGTCCCTGCAGACATGGAGAATGCCAGCGACATCGCCCTGTACTCGGGCCTGGGAGCGGCCGTCATCGCGGTGGCCGTGCTGGTGGTGGCCGTTACGCTGTACAGACGCAGTCAGAGTGAGTACGGCGTGGATGTCATTGATTCGTCTGCACTCACAGGAGGCTTCCAGACATTTAATTTTAAAACAGTCAGACAAGGTTAGTGCTGTGATTTCATTTTCTTTTCTCCAGAGCTCCTACTGCAAAGAGATACTAAGCTCATAGGCAGTGCGTGGTGGCTGGGGATATCCCAGCCTGACGCTCAGGAGGCTGGTCCAGAGCCAGGTGAGAGCAGCTGCACACAGGGAGCGGGAGCTGGGCTCTCCGCTGCCGGCTCTTCTGCCTCTGCCACTGATTTGGCACGGGAATAATAAATAACCTTTGCTGACTGCACTTCCTCTCTTTAGCACCGCAGAAATAACTGTCACGAGATTCTCACGTGGCAGTTGTGACTTAGCAAACAAAAATACAGGAAGCATCCATCTGTAGAGCCTTGCTGCTCCGCTACACAGCTATTGCTGCATTACAAGTGATCCAATTTTTATTGTGTTGTCATTCTGACCTATCTGCCTTTCTGTATTTTATAAGCTGTTCTTTGCATGCAAAACATCCATATTCTGAGGTCTCTGGAACAGAACAAGATAAATGTGTGTAAATCTGTATTGATTCTCTTTTTTTTTTTCATTAGGGCTTTATAAGGTCCCTAATACAATAAAATATGGTAAAAAAAAAAAAAGCTTTTTTACTAAAAGTAACACCTAGATGTTTTCTCAAATAATACTTCCTATAAACAAAAGTTCTGCAGGAGTATAAAAGAGTATTTTAGTACTGGCATTCGAACATAGCTGCCTGCCTTGTTGGAGTGGGTGGTGTGTTGGTGGGGTATGAAAATAACCCCAGGTTTCCGCTCTCTTTATGGGAATGAAATGTGTTGCAGAGTGGATTCTTGTTTTTAGGATTATTTTCTGAGAGACGTTCCTCATGAAGCATAAGACTAGAAAATTTGAAGGATGTTTACGCATTCATTTAAATATTCGTGCCTCAAATTAGTGTCACACAATTCTCAGCGACTGACTCAAATAGTTCCACTTGCCATGAAAATCTTGTTGGGGGCTGGGAAATTTCTTCTTTGATTTAATGCCAAGACAGGCGATTCCTCTTCAGCCAGGAGGTTGCTTCATTTTCAGCTACTTTTGGTGCCCTCTCCATGGGTTTTTCAATATGAGTATTTGTTCACTAAAAAAATCAGCTGCCATGAAGAAAAGAGGCCAGTTAACTGTTCTGGTGGCTAAGGCCCATGATAGAACTTCAGCTCCCACACAAGGGACCCAAAGACTTCAGGCCCTGAAAGGATCCATTCCATGCTGGGGTTCTCTTTTCAGAGTGTTTCCTGAGCTGAAACGTTCCTGGAAGTAGAGCTCTGGTGTTCTTTCCTGCATTGCTATTGTCCCACATTCTCTCCAGCCCAGTTTCCCTCAGGCATGAAGCTATCCTTTGGTGTGAGCTCACTGACAAAGTCTGCAGGAAGATGTGGGTTTTAATTAAAAAAAAAAAAAAGGGCATACCCAGAAAAACCCTCCAAACCTGAAGTTCCTTTCTGGATTCATGTTCCTTGGAACTGCCTGCAGTAGGAAACAGTGATCAAGTGCCCTTCAGATCTGCTGCATCGTTTCATCTGTTTTTGAACATCACCCTACGTGATTCTGTGTTCGGAGAGCATCAAGAAGGAAGAGCAAGTCAAAGATGAAACGGTGCAGAGGTCAGAAAGGTGATGCCAGGGTGAAGAATTCCTGCAGCTTTCGCTAGGAATTATGCAGGTAACGAGGATGGCACTTCCGTCACAGAGTCACAGTGTGCTTTAAGAGCACTGCGGTAGCAGAGTGCTGGTCTCTCTGGATGGCTCTGCTTAAACAGAAGCTTTTATGCAGTCTGAGCAGGACAGAAGTAGAGGAAGTGCGGGACAGAAGTGCAGGAGGAGGCCTGCAGCAGACTTACATGAAACAAGAGAATAGGAAGACTCTTCATCAACTAAATGATTTATGAAATGATTACAACATGTCCTGAGTACGTTGAGCACGGTAGTGTTAGATGCAGCAGATGCTCTTGCCTGTCTAGCTCCAGTTTATAGATGGGAAAATCAAAGTGCAGCTGAGTGCTGCACAGGATTTACATACGCATGTAATGTTTTCCCTAAAACTGACAATTAAATACAGGTCTAATCTCCTCTCTTCCCTGCACAGATTTTTTTATTTGCAGACACAGAGTGATTCAAGTTCCAGATCTTGCTAAGAAGTAGCTTGTAGTGTGTTTAGTACCACAGTAGAGGCTGCAACTGAGCCTGGACAGATGGGACACAGGAAGACAGACATGCCATCATATAGTCTACTAACACCCCAAATTTGTCATTTTTATAGAATACAGTGATTGTGACTCATGTCTAGGACATGAGTCATGGGTCTTAGCATGCTTCAGCCCATATGAGTATTGTTTTTTTCACTCTCAGTGCAGCTGTAGCTCATGAGACTTCAGAACCTAGGGTCAAGGTGGGTTATGCATTTACAGCTTGTGAACGAGATCAGTGCCTGACCAGGAAACCAGTTTGTCCTGCTGCTCTGCTCTGTGGAGTCTCCAAAAAATGGATGCAGCATCCCCTGTCCATTCCGTTTCTCCGTGTGCCTGCTGTGCAGCTGCTTTCCAAAAGGTAGTGCCTAACTCCGTGACCCACTTCGTTCCCCCAGGTAACTCCCTGCTTTTGAACTCCTCCATGCAGCCGGACTTGACGGTGAGCAGGACGTACAGCGGCCCCATCTGCCTGCAGGACCCCCTGGACAAGGAGCTCATGACGGAGTCCTCCCTGTTCAACCCGCTCTCCGACATCAAAGTCAAAGTTCAGAGCTCCTTCATGGTTTCCCTAGGGGTGACAGAAAGGGCTGAATATCACAGCAAAGCTCATTCTGGGACATTTCCTCATGGGAATAACAGGGGCTTTGGCACAATACATGGCAGGAACAAGGCTACGTACATCCAGAACCTATGTCCCATTACAACAAAAAGTGACCTGAAGACAACTGCGGTTTTTGGACACCTAGGTGGCCGTTTAGTGATTCCAAACACAGGTGGGTTGATCCTTGATCCATTTTTTTCCTTCCTTTTTTTTTTTTTTTTAAACTAAAGACCTATAAAATAGGTTTCACCTGCTGTACTGTTTTATGAAAAAAAAAAAGAGATACACTTAACATAATGTTTGTAAAGTAGTACCTACATAGACGATTACGGTCAAAACAAAGTTTTGAATGAGAAGTAAATGTGCATTATGCCCATCTGAAGTAGTTTCTGACTGCACTAATATTTGGCTTTGCGCTGGATTGTTGCAGAAGAGATGCTGAATTTACATTGCTTAAGAAGGAAAGTTTGTTTTTTGACTTCAGAGCTCTGTGAAGCAGCGTGAGATTATGGACTTAGGTAACCGAGTTTGTTAAATTTGCTGAAAGTATACGACAACCAAATTAGAAGCAACTAAAGAATGTTAATAAGGTCGTCCTCTGCAACATGCTGCACTGGAGCATGTTTGTGTCACACTCAATGAAATTCCTTATGTTGAATGTTTTCTTGTTCAAAACGGCAAATATAACAGAAGTAGTTTGATGCTGCTGCTGCCAAGTACCAGGGTGTCTTTTGGACTCCTGTGCGCGCTCAGTCGCAGCCTCCTTTCATCTCAACTCGCTGGCAGTTTGTTGCTGTTTCCAGGCTTGTTTCATACTGTCTGGCTCCACTGAATGTTTTAAAGCTGCCGCACAGCCCTATCCTTCATGTTCCATAAAATCAGGCTTTTAAAATCATAAATGGTCTGTATTTAAAGAAGATAGATAACGGTGTATAACCAAGAGCTAAATATTTAGTGGACAATCAAGCACGATACACAGAATGTATTCATTTCTTCACAAGGTTTTTTGTTCAGGAATGAGTGTTACAGAGGCAGATGCACATGGTCAGTGCAGTGGTCATAAACTGAGTTCCACAAATAAAAGGGACAGAGGGTTACCCGCGTTGCTGCCCAAAATGTTCACGTATCTGCAACGCAGCCGGGCTGTGAACGGAGTCTCAGCCCGTAGCACTGCCCAGCGTCGCCAGGGCTGCAAAGCCTGCTGGCCGGGCTGCAGCCGTGGTGCCGTTAAAGGGAGCCTTTCTTCCACCGAAATTATAAATAGCCTAGTGAATGTTTTTGTACTCCAGCATTGCTGCTTGTGATGAAAGGAGGGTAAAGAGGTTTCCCCATTCCCAAAATACGCAGTTTGTTTTTTATCATAAACAAGAAGCGACATTAAAGAGCAGAACTGCACTCTGCAGGCTCTTAGCTGCTAGCTAATGTGCAGGTTTCCTCCCCAGCACTCGCTGCAGCGAGGAGGCTGCGGCGCTGCTCCAGGCCACCCAGAGTTGGGCAGGAGTGTATTTATCCTTGAAACTTAATTGCTGTATTCTCCGGCTGCCAAAAAATTGCTCGTAGGCCCAACCACCAGTGACACGGAGTACTCCCCGCAGCACGAGACGGCTTGAGGACTGTTTGCAGAACAAAGACTTCCTCAAAGCTGCGAGGCCGCGGGTTTAGCTCAGCAGTGGATGAAATGAGATGGTCAGTTTGGGCAACCAAGTACTTCTATTATACGGGCTGAGACAATCCAAAGAGCTGTATTTTTAAACCCAAAATTATTCCCTTTGTCAAAGGGGTGAATTAGATGAAGGCTTTGCCTGTATCCAGGGAAGACAGACCTTCAGTCACATCTAGACCAGGAATCCAGTGGCGTTCAGGGGCACAGCACTGTAGGAATCCAGTCTTTAAAAGCTTTGTTGGTGCAAGAAGTTTTTACTTCTTTATTTGAGTTTACAGTGTCTGGCTACAGAAGGACCTTGTTTTGATCTATATCTTTGGACAACAATGAAATACTAATAATTATGTTAATCGTATTCATTTTTACTTGTTGGAAGCACTACTATGGAGGAGCATTCTTCTCTTCTGGATGGCCCTTCAAGGTGCTGTAAAGCAGAGGCCAGTCAGGAGGTTTTCCTTTGTCTCCGGTATTCTTCCAGAAGATGAGCTCTGCGTTTGCTCTTTTGTAGGAGTCAGTTTGTTGATACCCCATGGAGCTATTCCTGAGGAGAGTTCATGGGAAATCTATCTTGCCATCGCTCAAAGGGAGTCCAGGTAAAGAGCACATAAAAACCACACACACACAGTAATATCACCCCAGATCTGTGCGACTGCCTCATTTCATTGATTGGAGAAAGAGGTGACTTAGGGCAAGTGGAAGGTTTTGTTTTTAAGGAAATCAAATATAATTTGCACAAGGTTGGTTGATGTTAAGAGATGTTATTTTGTGCAAACAGCATTCTCCTAGCAGAGAATGATTTGTGAAAAATTGTGTGTTCCACTGAACTGGTGTCAGAACGAGTATTTCAAGCAAACAATTCACACACAGCAACTTTGTTAGGCCTGTGCTGGGCTTAGAGCTTCCCGCAGGCCAGGCTGTCAGGAACACGGCGCCTTTCCCTTCCTCCCCGCTTAGGTTTCGCGCTCCCTGTTCACAGAGAACCAGCAGCTACAGTAAATTGGGCATTTGTGCTTTGATTGTTTTTTTAAACCTAAAAGTCCTATAAACGCTTACGAACAGTGAGACTTGGGAAGAGTTACTATTATGACATTGAAAAAGACAAGGTGGAACTGGCCTTTTTTGTCAATATGTTATGTTGAGTCTGTTTTTTTCCCACTCTGATCTTCATCTCAAAAATGCTGGTACTTGTGTTTCGTTACTCATGTGAGTTATGTCACTGAAGTCATTAGAACTTCTCAAGTCTTGAGGAGAAATGGTATTTTTCATTCCATTTTTAGAGCATGTAATTCTAGTTATACCAAGAATATTACTCCTATATAATGTCAGGTAGATGCAGGTATTTGCAGTCCTGATTTTAAAGATCAAAAGCCTAAACTGAGCAGCCAGGGATTTGAGTAAATGCAGCCTAATAGGCCTGTTTCATCTCCAGCCACTGTTTCTGTATTAGCACAGAGGCTGGGTTGCATGTTTTTTCTGCAGCAGATGAATGAAACACTTGTTTCTTTGACAAAATATTTTAAATGTTTGTGTAATGAGGGTAGTTAAGTAACATTTGCACTTCGTGTTAGGGAAAAATCCTGAAAGATTTTTATCCTTCTTTTCAAACAAAGCCTACAGCCAGATGGCCCAGATGTTCTTCTAGGCCCAGAAGTAAGTTGTGGTCCCTCGGATGTGTCTGTGAGCACCCCGTTTGCCTTGACCATACCGCACTGCGCAGAGCTGAATTCAGAGCACTGGAATATTCACCTGAAAAGAAGGACCCAACAAGGAAAATGGGAGGTAAGCTGGAATTCCTGCTCCATTCAGAGGGCTGTACTAACCAATGGAAGCAACATTATCTTTATTCACCCGGGAGCTGGTCAAAGATGATGCAAGGGATAGAACCAGGAGTGCTCTTTTTCCTTATAAAAGAAAAGAGAAAAAACCTGCTTTGTGAAGAAGCAGTTGAACTGTCTCGAACTGCTATACTAAAGTGTGCAAAAAAAGATGCTTTTACAAGAGAAGATGCTCATTTTATCAGCTAGCATTAATAATGCAGCCAGGGTGCCCTGCAGTATTTGTCCACCTCACCCCCCTCATGTGTTCCAAACCCACTGGCCAAATCTGGCGTGCAGGCAGCAGCCTCAAACGTGTCCAAGCTCCTGCATCCTTGGGGAGAGATCCTGCTAATACACTGGACACTCCTGAAGAGAGGGCTGGTGCATGAGCTGAGCCTTTATTCAACAGAGAGGTTTCAGATTTACCAGCATGAAAAAAGCGTGTCTGTTGTACACATTATTAAACACAGAGTCCCCATTCTTCGCACTGTGAGGAAACAAGCATAGTTAAGACCTTCCTGGTTATCATAACTCTCTCCTTTTCCTCCTCTAAGCCGCTCTGTTGTTCGTCGCCCTCCTTTAACCCGTTTCAAGCTCAGCTTAGTTCTCCTACCTTAGACACCCTCAGTAGGCAGCTCCACCAGTGTTGGTTACAGACACCCTGGGACTAATGAGGAGGAGTGTAACATCAGACTGCAGCTGCCCAAATGCTTCATCTAATGATGTTAGAAAGCAGAACTGAGCAGGAAAGACAAAACAGTGGGGTAGGTGGTTTTCTGCTAAGGGTAAACATAATTGTAATGGTTGTTGTGAAAGCATGTCCAGTACCTGCTGTTGCTCAAGGCCTTCTTATTGACGTCAATCTTTGAGGTAATTTCTTTACTTGCTATTGGGAAAAAATAGCTAGAAAGTCAAGAACACTTGAAAAAAAATACTTTTTTATGCATCATCATTATTATTATATGCTGCCCACCTTGAGTTCTGCAAAACATATTGGCATAGGCCCTCTTGCTGTCTTGGGGCAAGAATATTTACCCAATAGGGCATCCCCCTTCCCTGAGGGCAGCATGAGTAAAGAAGGTGCAGACTGGCACTCACATGTACTTTATATTCCACTTGAATGAAAAAAGAAATAAAAATAATGTCATGACTCCTATTCTGCAAGTATCTATGGTTATTTTTTAACCTGGGTTTCATTTTGCAGGAAGTGATGTCTGTGGAAGAGGAAACTACTTCCTGCTACTGCCTCTTGGATCCTTATGCCTGTCACATTCTCTTAAACAGCTTTGGGACTTATGCTCTTATTGGAGAGCCCATCTCCGACTGTGCCGTCCGACAGCTGAAAGTAGCCGTTTTTGGATGCATGTCTTGCAATTCTCTGGATTACAATCTGAGAGTATATTGTATGGATAACACGCCTTGTGCTTTTCAGGTAAATGGTTTCACTTTGTTACTTGCTTTTAGCTCTTACTCCACAAAATACTGACGTTCCTGTCTCCTGGGGATAGTCCTTGGGTTAATGGTCCAGAACTCAAAAGAGAGAGCGCTGTAATTTATTCTGTCACTCCTGCATGACTTCATGCAAATCGTTTCATTTCTCTGCAGTGTTGTTTCTCCCGTGGATTTACAGTGTAAGAGCTTTTGAGTAGCCCAACTGCCTGCTCACTCTTCGCCAGGCAGATGCAAATCCGCTCTGCCCGTGTTCTAGATGGGCATCACGTAGGCAGGGTTAGTTACAGGAGAGGTGCCAGAAGTGTTGGAAGGGTTGAGCGTGTTGGCTGCACGAGCACAAGCAGAGCCTGCCTGCCCGGCAGCGTGAAGCTGTTACCGTTTGGTGTAGGTGTTCATCACTGTCATTACCCATCCCCTGGCATGAGGCAGTTCAGGATCTCCTTTGCTTTGTAATCTGGGGAAGAAAAAGATTCTCTCATGATCTCTTTCTGCAAGAATTAAATTATAATGGTGCATTTCTTTACTGTTGAACAAACAACACAAACCTCAAGTGGCAATTAATCAAAATTAGCATGACTTTCTACATGGTACATCAAGACAAAACAAGAAAATTCAGTGGCTTTCGCAGCCTTGGTGCACCAGAAGCTTCAATGAAATGCTTTTCTTGTGGGAACTGAGATGAAGGCAGTTGTGACAGGTGAATTTTGCTCCCTTTTCCGATCTTGCAGAATAGAAACATGAATCTTAATGAAGTACGCAAATAGCCATGTGCTTCTAATAAAAGCTGATAAAAAGTGTAGTCCTTTCATGCAGTTCTGTGCAGCTGTTTTATACAAGTTGTTCAGAAGTCCTAGGAACATTTAAATATGGAGAAAAAAAAAACCCTGAAAACTCCATTCTTCAAATCGCTATGAAAGATGCTCACAACAGAGAAATGAGATTCATTTTATTCACAGCAACCATTTATTTTTTTCATACTGCTTCTTACAGCATGGTGCAATCTCTTTCAATGATTCATTCATACTGAATTTTACCCTCACTATGTTAAAAAGAATACATAAATACCTTCACCCGATGCAGCCTAATTTAATTGTACCATCCTGTTTCTCCAACTATGGTGACATTCAGCAAACCATGGAGGGGGCCAGGTTATTTTTTCTTAATGTGAATTAAAATAATAAGATTTCAAAGCTACTTGTTTTCTTTCTGTAGAAAATTGTTTAAAGAATAATTACCAATGGTTGCCACTTGCAGAAATTAGAACAGGAGCTTTATACACAATGAGACAACTGTCTCTTTATGAAATTCTCCTTTCTTCATAAATACGTTGCGTCGATTCAATGCTATTGTAAATGTGTTTATTGAGTAGTGACCATGGAAAACACAGACCCTGGGAAACAGCATCGTAACTGGGCCCAGCAGGTTTTGTTTTGACACTCCTGTTCCCTTGCAGCACAAGATGGTGTGAGGCTCCTCGGCGCCTCGCTTTGTCCAAGCCTGGGAGCGGATGCTCCTTCTCTTAACAGCTCTTTTGCCCTTTAGGCAAATCCAAGTGTATGTGAAACTCATGACTCTCAACAGATCAGAGAACTACGTAACAACAAAGTCCTTTATATGTTATATTTTGCTGTTATCCTTTTGATGCTTGTAGAACTAAAGACAAGTTGTGTGATTGAAGGTAGAGCCGTATTTTGTACATCTAAGGTATATGTAAAAATGTCCAGTGCTTCAGGGAGTTTTAAAAATAATTATGAAATCTAGGTACTTCAATTGCAGTTGAAATTCAAAACCTAAGTGTTGATTCTAATTCTTTGTTTAAGACAAAGTTGCTTTCTTCTTTCATATAAGTCCAACAATCAGAACTTAAAACAAAGTTAACACCTATAAAGAGCTTTATAGTAAACACCCAAGATTGTGATTTCAGGAACTGTGAGCATTTATTATAGTTTCAGAAAATGACAACAGTTCTAATAGCTCTTTTAAGAATAATTTGGGGCTACTGATAAAAGCACAGATTTTATACAGTTTATGCAGACAAAAAAAAAGGTAATTTTGAAAGACTTCTGCTAGCTAATGTTAAAATACTTGGGCAAACTTTCCTTCTTTGCTCGTCTTTATACATAACCACAAGAAACTTGGCTTATACCAGCAAAGGTGCTGTTTTTCACTAGACATCTTCAGCTCTGAGACTCCTACAAAAATCTGTGTTGGACCTGACAGCTGCTCCGTAGCCCAAACTCCTGCTCGAGGCAGGGCTGCCTTCCAGGTAATCCCCTGCAGCATCGATCAGCAGCGTGTGCGGTAGTTGTGGAAGTCTCCATGGGCAGAGAGAAGTGAAGCTTCAGGGTGAGGCCTACACTTCGTGTGTTATTTTCAGGGCTCTTTAAAGTTCTGAGAGCACCTTCTCAGCAAAACTGTGGCCCATTTAATCTGGAGAACTAAGTGGACTATTCACCAGTATATCTTATGTTGTTTATATTCTTTTCAGTCTGTTAACTAACTCTCTTATAGTGCTTTTGTACATCAAGTGCATTTTGACTAATAGAAACAGTCTGTAAGAGTTACTCCAAATACCAGGATAGCAGTAGGATCTTGGACAGAGAGGGCACTGACCTGCACTGATGCTGCAGCTTAACCACAGCTTCCATTTTCGTCTTTGGAAGGAAATAGCTTTACCTGGAAATGAGCTGCCACCGTCTTGCTTCCCTTTGCACGCCGCTGTTGGAGACAGCTGTGCGCAGAGACTGGCCCGTGAGCTGCCCTCTTCTAATAGCGATCCTGCGAAACACAGCGAAACAGCAGCAATCACACAGCAGTAATGCTCAGCTGAAGGAGACTTGATAGCCACTGTTGAATTGCAGAACCCTTCTGAGAGCTTCCTTCTGTAACTGGAATTCTCCCTGATAGGGAGGTAGCCCAAGCCAAACGCGTCGCAGGTACCGGCACCGGGGCAGGGAGGCAGCGCTCGGAGCCCCTGCGAGCTGCAACTGCGCCAGTGCCTGCCCTGCTGCTGCCGCCGCCTCTGCTGTGCGGTGGCCTGGCGCCCTTCAGAAACATCAACTTCCCTGAAATTTGGAGGGTTTTCCTAGGAATTAAAAAACGGTTTTCTCCTCTGCCATTGCAGGAAGTGGTTTCGGATGAAAAGCTTCAAGGAGGACAGTTACTGGAGGAACCAAAACTTCTGCATTTCAGAGGGAATACCTTCAGTCTGCAGATATCTGTCCTGGATATCCCTCCTTTCCTCTGGAGAATTAAACCATTTACTGCATGTCAGGTACTTGGTAATTTTGTTTACATTTTAATTAAGAAACAGAATTTTCACTAGGATAAGCTTATCCTAGAGCAAGGATAGTGAAATAACTCAAATGGTTTCGATATTGTCATTCTGATTTTGATATAACTATAAATGCATACCTGTAAATGCAAGGATATATGTAAACATGCAAATATCTTGAGTTTAAATTGTGGCCTGTATATGCTCAGAATTAGAATAGATGAAGAAAAAAGTATTTTTCCTGTAGTGCATTAATTAAAGAGGCTTCTGAAGGCGGGACAGTGTAAGTGGAAAACAGGAAGGCTTTTCCAAGTGTCTGGGTTCCTAGAAGTTACAAGCAGAGTGCTGACACACACAAATGGCTGGTCCTTCAACATACAGACTGAATTAGGGGATAATCCTGCTTTTTGCAGAAGCAGGTTGATAGTTAAGACAATTTTATGTCACGGGATATGGTAAAACAAGCAGTTTTGAATGGAGAGCTTTATTTTCCAAAAGATAAGTATAAGGGATTTTGAAAGTTATAAACTGTAATCTAAACATGAATCTATGAGGTAATTTATGTCCCCAATTAACAAAGGAAAGAAATAAAAACATAAATATATTTTATAGCTTAAAAGATAAACTGATCAATATTAGGATGCCCCTCTATTATATTCAACACATTTAAAACTGGCAGATTCCTGAGCAGTGATAAAAAAGCATGCACATTTTCTCTTAATATAACAAATAAGGTGTTACTTACCCCAAATTATAAAAAAACTCAGTACTTTGGTTAATTAATAATCTCTTGATTGTCCAATTCCAACAATTAAACTGTGTGATAAATTCAACTTCAAAGCACCGTTAGATTGTTTTCTGGTAACTGCTTTCTAATGAGCATTCGTAGATGTGAATTAAATGCATGTAGCAGCACCTTGTGCAGGTCTCCGCGGCCAGCTCTGGAAGGCAGACAAACCACCTGCCACTGGCCCTCCTCAGCAAAGTTTATTAGTTAAAGAGCCAATGTATGTGAGAAAAAAGCTCTAAAGTTTAATTAAATTTCCCTTGCCGTGGTGACTGCTGCAGGAGCAACACGTTACACTGCTGAAAATTCCCTAGTCTTTCCTTGCAGCAAAGAAACTCTTTTAAATAAGTCTAGTAAATACGCTGCTGTTGGGAGAGGTGAACGTGTTCACTCCCTGGCATTGCCTCTGCAGCAGAAATGCCTGAAGTTCGTGTTGTTTGCAAAGACTGCAGCAAAAATGGGCTGTGATTATGTAAGAAGAAATAGAACCTGAACAACATAGTGTTAAGCTAGAAACGCAGCCTGCAGAAAGCAGTGCTGCCTGCAAACCGCCTGGCTGCCAACCCCAGCGCGAGCTGCTGTTCTCTGGCCTCCTCCTTTCTTGGAGGTCGCGATTTGGGGAGCGTTATCTCTGCCTCCTTGTTTCTGCAGAGCCAGTACTTCTTTGGGGCATTATCTGCTTAGCTGGATGGGAGTCCCTGGTGCATGCAAAGTGCTCAGAGTGCCTCAGAGGCCCGAAAATATTTTGTGTGCAGTTCAGCACTTTTCCTAATGCTAGGTACACTTCTATGAATAAATATTGTGTTTATGGCATATTAAACTCAGGTATTTTGGTTCTCTCTTGGCAAGTAATGGTCTAGTGTTTCCAGCTGAAATTGAACTGCAGGGTGCTGTTAAAACAAGTCCTGATAGCCATGCAAATTCCTCCGTATTAATCTTTACGTGTTGCAAGGACCTCACTTTGCTGAATCGAATGCAAGTGGCGCAGTCCAAAACAGCTATTAAATTTATTGCCACAAGATAAAAACAACAATAAAAAGCGCAAAGAGGGAGCCATAACCACTGTAGAATCCTTGGCTAACGGAGAGCAGCGTGTGCTCCGAGCAGCGCGGCGGAGCTGGGGCTCTGCTCGCTGAGGGCCGGTCGCCCCCGCTCGCAGCAGCTCCTCGGGCTGAAACGAGGCACGGGCAGAGGCTCTGCCGAGACGAGGGTCGGGCAGGGTGCTCATACCAAAAGCACAGACAGATTGGCCTTGTGTAACTCAGTGTAACTTGGATGCCTTGACTGAAAACTGTAGGAACCGCAGCACAGCTTCTACTGGCTCTGTATTTCCCCCTCAGTCTGGCTGCACCCACAAAACGGTTTTACAGGCTCACTGTCTGCTTAGAGCTTAGTTACAACAGGAGATTCAACCTGAGAGTATTTCTGGAGTGTTTTGAACACTCCTTGTGCACCGTACTCAGTCCCCCGCTATTACATTTTGTGTAACTCTTTCCAGCTGAATGATTCTTCCACCTTGAATTAAAGCAAAGATGATTACTTGGAAAAATTTAATTACAGTTGCTCTACTTCTAACACTTCCCTATGTTTTATCACTGTTGGTAGCTTGTTTGGCTACCACCTGAGGATCTAACCACAGAGTTTATAATTGTTACCGCGTCATTATGGATTGCATGAGACGCTCTTGAGAAGATGCCAAGTTAGCCAGATGTCAGTCATGAGTAAAAGCAATTCTCTTTAGCCTTGGTTTTAGACCAGGCTGCTCTTTGAAGATTTCTAAGCCTATGTTCTCAGGTTGCCACTAGGTAGCTAATTTCTTTCGGGACACAGACTGTGATCTTGGAGCAAGTTTGCTACTTCCTATATTGCAAGAAACAAACCGAGAAACCCAATAAAGTGCTTAAAAGGTGGCAAGAATGGAGAAGAGCCTGTTTGCTGTGGGGTAAAGGTTTAAACTCTCACTAGCCTTCCCGGTGTGAATTTGTTGTAAGAGTTAAATCCACGTTTTACTTGTGTTTGCAACAGTTTCTGCTTGTTTCTCACGTCGAGTCCTTGTCCCGCGTTCCTCTGCAGGAGGTGCCCTTCTCCCGCGTGTGGGGCAGCAACCAGGCGCCCCTGCACTGTGCCTTCTCCCTGGAGCGCTACACGCCGGCCACCACGCAGCTCTCCTGCAAGATCTGCGTGCGGCAGCTCAAGGGGCACGAGCAGGTTCTGCAGATCCACACGTCCATTCTGGAGGTAGCCTCCTCTCTGCTCTGCCTTGCTAAGTTATTGTCAGGCAGGACACGACCCCTTCCCATTTCCGCCTCTGCCTCTCCTGGTTTCCAAATCTGTAGCAAGTCTACAGATTCCATTTCCTGTAGGAATCAAAGTCTGTATTTACAGGGATTCCACAACACACAAAACAACCCAGAGTGGAGGCAGTTGTAATAGTTTTCTTGCAGAAAGCTTTTGAATAGTTCGCAGAGAGCTGAGGGTTGAGAACGGACACAGTCTGGGCATCAGCTACTCATTTATCAGAGTATTTTTGAGCCTTTTTTTTTATTCAGCACCATCCCATATTAGCGTTTCATAAGTATCCAGCTACTGCTGGATTAAACATATGCACCCAATTGCAAAGATCCGTAGCTAAGTGCACGGTGCAGGGAACAGGGCAGCTTAACTAAGACCTCCTCATCTACTCAGTGTAAAACCATGCTCAGAATATGGCCACGTATTTTTCTTTTTCCAGCTCTTCGTTGTAATTTCATTAAAAGCTTCTGTCATTCGCTGTATCTGAGTACAATATTGCTGCTTCTTTATTTTATTTTTACTTTTTATAAAGGGATCTATCTGTCCACAAGGCCCCAGAGCACGTTGTAATTCTGTCTTCAAACAGATCCGCTAATACGGAAGACTTTCTCATCCCTATCTCAAAAAGTGATGGAAGGGTGAGGATAATTTGACTGTAAAATAAATAAATAACCTGAACTACTCATTACTTTATAATTCCCTGAACTAACCTGATAGCAGTAGCTTATCTCTCATGCACAGAGTATGAAAATCTACTATTGTTCTGCATATTTAATTTAAACAGTCAGACAATGTGATCTATCTCCAACATTGCTATTACTTTGCATGGATGACTTTTGGGATGTGTCATAAATGTTATATGAAAAGGCTATAGCATCATTGTTGTTTAATATTTATGCTGCTCTGCACTGAAACGAATAATACATGGGAATGTTGGACTGACACAAGACTAGCACGGTTTCATAGGAAGAGAAGGGACCAGAGCTACAAAAAGGCAGTGGATTCAAATGGGATTTTAGGAATGGCAGAACTGAGGTGCTGTACAGAATTTAGGTGCTTTTTAAAGAAATAAATAGGGGGCCTTAAATGCCTATATATCCCCTCCTTTCATGGTCTACCCTACCAGTACCTGCTCTACTGGACCATCTGTAACCTCCCAAGAATGAATTTGGGAAACCAGTGGAAGGAAAAGTGTCTTTATAAATAGAAACTACCTAGCTCGGTTTTGCCCTGTTGCCAGTCCCACAAGCTCTAGCTGGCGTCTCATTTCCCTTGCTCTGAAAGTGGTTCATGTCTGTCCCTTCCTGCACGGGAGCGGATGTCACCGTCACGGTGCTAGAGAGACCCCGATACCCCCGGGGAAGGCAGAGAACCCGACACCCCCATAACTGCTGGGTTTTCCTTTGTTTTCTGCGCAGAATGAGAGGGAAACCGTCACCTTCTTTGCACATGATGACAGCAATTTCCCCGCACAGATGGGCCCCAAAGCCTTCAAAATCCCCTACTCCATCAGACAGAGAATCTGCGCGACGTTCGACACGCCCAGCGCCAAGGGCAAAGACTGGCAGATGTTAGCACAGAAAAACAGCATCAACAGGTAACAGGAGGCACTTTTGAAAGGTGAACATTTACATATGCAGTGGGAATAATTTGCTGTTATTATGGTGTTTTTTTGTTTGCTGGTATTAAAGACGTGTGAATAGTAATTACCATTCTTACTCCCAGGGGTAAACTGCAGTTCATACGTTCTTTTGTATATGACTGACTACAGAAAACAGGAATGAATTTTCCCTCTGAATGAGCCTGTGTCCAGTTCTGCCCGTGTCCAATTCTGCCTTGTAAACTCAGGTCATTAGAGCCTGGCCCTTCTCCTTGCACCCCTGGGGTCTTGGGAAGGCAGGTGACTATGGAAGGATTTGGGTGCTGTTGTGTATTATGGAACCAGTGAATTAAAGGACTTCTAAGGACACATGTTCTCAGAAAAATTAGATTGTTGCAGGGTTAGAATATGGCTTTTATCCTCATATTTTTTTCCTATTTCGAAAGGAATTTCATTTTTTATTTTTTTTAAGTCAAAGGCATTTTCAAAGAAAGTCTTACTGTACTGTTAACAGTGATAATTACTGTTATTACAAATGAAAGACACTGTAGAAGTTAATTTGCTCATTTTGCTTTCTCCACCTGGCTAAATGGATGTGACGATAGCAGTTTGCTCACAGAAATGCTTTGTGCTTCCCATGAGCACCAGCACATTCCCAGTGGGGTAGAGGAATGCTGAAGTCAAGCAAAACACGCTCAGCTTGTTGTTTTCCATGGGAATCGCAATAAGCCAAATCTGAACTTAAAAAAAAGACAGTAATTTATAGGCAGCAGAGAGGAAGTCATAAAATTTTGGTTCAGTCACTGGTTTTTACTACCTGTTGGTAGGCACTTAAATCTCATTTTGCTTCCATTCCTCATGTGTAAAGTGAGCTAGAGAAAAATCTCCACTATTAGAGGAATCTCAGAGGCAGTGTGCTGGCAGATTGCTATGCCGGAGACCAAGCTTTTGTCACATCTCTTTAACTTCGGATTGTGTGCAGAGATCTGGTAGGGCCTTTGCATTTTTTATTTTTATGACAGGACGTTACTGAGCAGCTTACATGACCCTAAACATGTCTGTAAAACCAGGCAGCAGAAGAGCTCCGTGTAGCCCATGCACAGCATGATCCCCGAGTGTCCTCACGGTTGTATTTTCTCCACCTGCCACCTCTGGTTTTACACTCCATTCCAGACATGCAGCAAGGCCCTGTGTGAACTGCTCCTTCTTGGGAAATGCCTCTTTTCAAACCTTGGCACTGGCTTTTACTTACAGGATGGTTAGGTTTGAGATTTTTCTACAAATCTCCCTTGATTTTCATGGTAAGTTAACTACCAGAACGTAGGTAGTATCTCTATTTATATGAAGAAACGCTCAAGATAACATGGGGCAGAATCACTGTGTAGCATTAGCTGGGCACCAGGAAGGGGCGGTGCATTAGTGCCCCGCCGTTGTTTTACGGGCCTCGCTGAAGAGACAGTGCTACAGTTTGGAGCTAAGGCTACTCAGGGCAGGCAGAGACACACAGCTGACATTGAGCTGTTCTACTCTTTCATACACCTCATGTGCTTGACAACTTGTTCCTTTGTCTGTGGGTGATGACGGGGTCATGGTCTTGAGAGTATCAAACTTGGATTTGGCATCTCAGGATTAACTAAGTAAATGCTATATATAACATTTAGGCTTATGTACATGAAGGCAGTAGATTGATTTGGATGATTATGTCAAAAGCAACTGCAAAAGGTGATTCAAGGTAACGTGTGTTTAAGAAAACCATTTTAATTCCCCAAGTTCGTGGTAGTCACAGTGTATATTTTTCAAATCCTTTTACGCCACCTTTTTCTCTCCTCCTTTCAGGAATCTCTCGTATTTTGCTACACAGAGCAGTCCATCTGCTGTCATTTTGGACCTCTGGGAAGCCCGACATCAGCACGATGGTGACCTTGACTCCCTAGCATGTGCTCTGGAAGAAATAGGAAGGACACACTCCAAAATCTCAAACATAGCAGAAACTGAGGTCGAGGAGCCTGACTTCAGCTACAGCAGACAAAACGGACTCTAGCCGTCTCTTCTCCATTCCAGAATCAATGGCCAGCTTTGACTTTTACTCTAGAAAATCTCTTTGGCAGGGAGGGAATAAGGATTCGTGCACAGTGTGTAGAAGGAACAGACAGTAGTTTTGACAATGCAGTTTTCATTTGGAGGAGCAGAAGAAGCCCCATTACAAATCATCTCAGTAATAAGGCAAATGTAGGCTTCTCCCTGTCCCAGAGCTTTCCTTTGTTCTAAATTTGAAATATGTTTTAGTGTCAACTAAACTACACACCTGCTATTTGCAGGGGCAGGCCAGGGTGAGATGCACAGAGCTATTACACTATATTTAGGAAAAAATGCCTAGTGATAATGAGCGAATAGCATATTGAATATGTAAAGCCATGAGAGGTGGCATCCAGTTTAAAGGTTTGTTGTGGTGGGGCCTTGTGTCCTGCTCCTCTCTAATTCACCACGCTTCAAGAGTGGGTTTTAGGTGCCCTTTGATGGCATCACAGAGTCACTTTGTATTTGCTCTAATCTAGCGGCAGGACTGTTGAAAAACAGCCCCAGGACTATTCAGTTGTCATCCAAATAATTCACTTCCAAAATTCTCTCACTTAATGAATGTACCTTTACGGCAGTTTTCCTGGGTATTCCGTCAACTAACACAACAGAATCTTCCCCTATGAAGTTCTCAGCTTGCAGACTTAGCCCAAGGTTATTGAATGGGGGTGGGGGGAAGAGAACGGGGGTTAAGCAACCAAATGGAACAGGAAATTGCCAGCCCAATTTTAAGCAAGTTGCACTTTTTTTGTATTACTCCATCTTCGGGGATTCAGTTAAAAAGAGAAGGTGAATTCAGTCAGCACAGCTTAATTTTGGTTTGGTTCGGTTCCAGATTGAAACAAGCCCCACATGGTTAAAGCTCCCAAATTGGTTAACGTTTGTTCTAGAATTTGCCAATTTAGCAGAATTTTCACAGATTCAACAGAATATAACAAAGCTAGCTGTGTTGCATTTGGTTTAGCTACAGAAATTTTGCATTTACTACCTGAACCAGAATTTAGCTAGAGAATTCTCCTTATTTTTTATCCATTTCATACAAGAATAATTTATTACTTCAACTGAACCAAAAAAAAAAAAATCTGTCACTGTGAGTGAGTGTCCTAGAGAAGCTGGTACTTAGCCAGATTTGATCAGTACTTTTGACTCTTATAATATATTCTTTAACTTAGCCAAGGTGCTCGTTAGCTGTGACCCTCGGCTATCAGCCTTGGTTATGTGAACACAACCTGTGTAAAGTAGCAACATGAACAGGATTTTAAGAGCTTTATGGAAATGCCAGAAACTGAACAGCAGAATTAATTCTTTTTACTCTCAGATTTAGCCGAGAGGAGGATGACAATCCAGTGGGTCCCACTCAGTGTGCACATCCCTAATCACTTGAGACTCTTCTTTCCACCCAAGATGCCAGTTCTGAAAGTACAATTACCTGCTCCGGATGCCAGACTTTGCGTGTTCTCAGATTTGAAATTGCAGCTCCCCTTGCTTTTCCAGCTCAGCCGTCTGGAATAGATTCTTAGACATACTTAAAATATTTAACCACCCCAAACATTTTTTGCATGTTAGTACTTTATGCCACCTGACATGAGATTTCATGTTTGCGATGGGAAATTGGAATGGCTGCAAGCATGTTTAAGACTGAGACAAAAATATCAGCTCATTCAGCAGCAAGCTGCCACTTCTGTCAGCAACACACGGCGCTCTCCGTTTGGCTTTTATTTCTAGTGACTGCCCTCCTCCTCTAAAACCTGTTCTGCATTGGACAAAGCATCATGAATTAAAAACTGGAAACTGGGCAGTGGCATCCGCAGCAGAGCCCTGTGTAGCTGTAGTGAGCTGCCGTTGTCTGGGCAACCTGCTCTGGGCCCAGCACATCTCAGATGCAGTTTTAATTTGGTTGTTGCTTTTTCAGACTCGCTGAGGTTACCTAAATAGAGCCATGCAGGCAGTGTAGCAGGTTCAACTCGTTGTGACCCTCTCCACATGTTGTCTCCTCTCGTTTTCCAAAAATTCTTGAGCTAAACACAGCGTATGCGGTTGAAAACAGCTGCTGTGTGGAGTTCACACCTTAAGGCTTTTTCTCAGGAAATGCAGCATTTACTTGTCAGCCCCTGGTAGCTTTGCGAAGCCTCTGTGGACAGGGACAGGCAGCTCTGCAAACGCACAGAACAGGAGGTGTCTGGGCCGCCCTGCCCTGTGTGCCTGAAAGGAGCTGGGCGGAACCCAGGGCCCAGGTTCGGGCCCAGCCCAAGTCCCGGTTCGGGTCGGGGAGAGGCAGAGCTGGCAGAGGGGGTCGCTCACCATGAGAAGGCACCGTTCTGTCCTGCATCCAGGGCAGGGTTTTATGTTGCAGTGCTCAGGGGAGTGTTTCAAGTTCTCCCTTTAGGTTTTGTTTCCTGTTCTTGGTCCCTGTTGCCAAAGCAGCTTGTCTGTATTTTTTTTGTGGAGCTGACTCAAGAACATAGTTACTTAGGACTTTTTCTGACTTGTTTCTGTTTTGAGGCCCTTGCAGACTGGAATTTCAGATAGATTTTTGAGTGGAAAAATGGGCTACTTTTCCCCTACTCCTGGGAAATTTGTATCTGTTGATTACCTGATCTGTCTGGTAGAAATAGGCTTGTTTCCTAATGCTCTTTTTGTTGTTTTATGTTAATATCATGGCATGATAATACTTAAGACTTCTACTCATAGAGGCTAATGCCAGTTCCCCTCCCTTTTATCTACTGTCCCAGTTTTAGAGCTGGAGAAATTAGAACGGGGTTTGGGAGGTGTTTCCTGTAAATGCAGCAGCCGCAAACGGATTTTGTGCTACCATTAACAGAGAGCCAAACAAGTAAGGAGGTTAAACGATTCCTCCTCTTTTCCACAGTAGGAAGCAGCTGATTTTTGACAGCTTGTTTTTCCACGGGGGCTGTGGTAAGGATGCTTATGCTCTTTCAAAATGGTAATTCACAGTGTGACAGCTTGTTTTTCTACGGGGGCTGTGGTAAGGATGCTTTGCAATATAATGCTCTTTCAAAATGGTAATTCACAGTTTTATGCAAATACTACACAAATATATATTTGGAAAATGATGAGCAGTCTTAAAATTCCAGAAGCACATTTTCAACATCTATGCTGTGTAGGGTTTTTTTTTGAAAATCTGGATATACATGATTTAATCCAAAACACAGACGTTGGCATCTGAGCCAGGATTAGACACCAGAAATTCAAAAGTGATTCCCTTCCTCTATTGTATAACTTAAAGCTTTTGCAAAATAAGTAAAAAAAAAACCCTTTGCAAATAAAAAAAGTAAAAGGAAGGGAAGTCCTATATTGTACATTAAGATTCTGTGTAGCTGCACTGAGTCTGATACAGTGAAACAGCCACGTTGTTTTTATATCACCTCAGCATCTGTTTGACTATATTTTCATCTTCCTAAGTATTTGGGGGATATTTTGGCACTGTGAGTCATTTAAGACTGTAGCATCATAAAGATAATCTACAGTTTTTACAACATTGCTTTTGCAATCTTAGTAGCTTACATTAAAATCCTTTAAGCCCCATGTAAAAGATGCCTGCTGCATGGATTTAAATGCAAACTTCATTTACCAGTGCAAGTCCCTTAAAGCCAAGATATATTCCCACAAATATTTTAGTGGGCTTTTTGTAACGGGGAAGCTAAAATAAGAAACAGTTGTGGATTTCTGCTCATGATTGGACAGTTTTCACTCTTCTTCTGCCTACAAAACAGACTTTGAAGCAAAGAACTGCATTATGTCTTGGTTATTAACAGAGTGAAAAGGGAAGTTATTTCCAAGTCCTCAACAGCTGTGAATTACCTGAAAATTTGTCTTTCTAGCCTTTGTTTTCCTAATTTACCCTTTTTACACAGCAATAGAGGTGATCACCTGAGTCATGGAGAAACTTTTTCAAGCTAGAGCTGCTGAAGAGAGTTTTCTGTGGATTGGTCATTCCTGGCAGCTGCTTTTAGCAAAATGATTTCCCTGCCCTTATTCATGCTGTAGGAAGCTTCGTGCTCAGTTCTTCTGCTGCAGCCTGTCAAATGGCACATGCAGATAATGATTAAAATTGGCTAAAATTAGTTAAAACTTTAAGAGACTCCTGGGCAAATACAGTAAGGTAGAACCCAAGGTAGATGATAGCACACTTAATACTTGCAGTGACAAATCAAACTCCATCCCTTGCTGAAAGGTCATGAATCATTTCCTAGTAAATGAACAGTCTAGCTCTTCACACTACCTATACTAATATTAATGGTCTCAAAAATCTCCTTTCCAACATGAACAAAAACAAATAAATCACTCTAAGATTAAAGAAGCCCTTAGAGAATCATTTAATAGTAAGTGTCTGTAATGCAGAAAACAAAACTGATGTTTGGCTCATTGCCACAAGGGGAAACAAAAAATAAAGAAGCTGTCACTATCCATGTTCACTGTTCTGTCCAAAAATGCAATATATGTCTAGGGATTTGCCACTATATTTTTTGTATTGGAGGTGAATAGTACAGGTTCTAATAGTATTTCTTGTCTGGGGTGGGTAGGGTTGTATTGTAATTTCAAAGCTATTGCAGAAGCTGCTTTTAAATTAGCTGTTGTTTTGAATAGCTGGTCTGTGCTTTACACAGGGATCCAGGTGAGCCGGATTCAGTCGGTAGCCTCCTTGCCCTGCTGTCGCAGGGACACTAGAGCTGCAGTCGCTCGTCAAGACTTAGTGTAGGGCTAGGGGGATTAGATGACCCAAAGCTGATGTGTAACGTGGTGTACTGTGACCTGATGAGATTAGCCACTCACTGCTGTAGACTTGTGCTCGTCAGCAGCTGCTTCGTTCGTCTGCGCCCTGGTGTGATGCCCCTGGTCGAGAATGTCCTTCCACAGAGGAAGATGCTGCCAGCCCCTGTGCGTGAGCTGGGCTCTGTACATATAACTATATCCTGCTGTACATTTATATCCCCGAGGAAGCGTGTAGCGCACCGTGAAGTTAAGGGTGCTGTGCACCAAGCCCGAGCTGAGTGTTTTGCTGATACAGAG